GCTTCCTTACACACCATGCAGTCATTCACTTGGTTGTCACACAATGTACAGTTATACTGAACACTATATATGGGTATCACTTAGAGAAAAAAAAATCTTTTCCTTTCAATTTGCCAGAAATATATTGTTTCTGGGATTAGTGTCATGATTTAACAGAAGAGACTCTCAGAGCTAATGCACACAAAGATGTGGGCAGGCAGAAATTTCCTGGCTGGCTGCAGTATAATATTGCATTAATATATTTCTGCGTCATGAAAACCGTCTTTATAGGAAGAAAAATATCAAAGATATGTGATAGAAAAAGGAATGTAAAACTCACACTGCAAAAAGAAGCTCCATGGATGAAATAATATCCCTGCTCTGGTGCACAAGCTACACACATTGTTTGTAACCACTTATTCTGCCTGAAGGCAGTGGGCACGCCTACACGTGATGCTTACCACACATTAACATGCTGGTCAAGAACCATGCTACTAACTGTAGCCAGTGACTGTGATTACTGTGCATTTAGTTAGCACTTCATTAAGCAAATACTAAACTAAATGTGCAGTAACTACTGTGCATTAATGAACGTGTAGATGTACCCAGTAGTGCCAGTCCCAAGTGTTTAAAAATGAGCCTGGTTCCCCAAATCATTAAATTAGCTTAACCTCCCCAGGGTTCTCTTTTAATACCACATGTTGGGTTCTCATATGCTTTGCTGTTGTTGTTGTTTGTGGTCCCTGACTCCCTGGAAAGCAAGAGCCAGACCTAGACCTCTCTCCAGGCTGAGTAGAGATAAGATAAATCAGTGCAAAATATGATATATGCTATTCATGTGTAAATAAGGCACAATTGCTTCTGGCCATTACTCTCAGAGAAACGACAAAATATTTCCCAGGTGATTACTTATCAAAACCAAGACAACCTTGGACCAAAGACAACCTGTAAACTCAGGAATGATTGGGCAGATACTTGGACTGATAAGGTCCCTTGCTTTAGCTACTTGGCTGGCTAAGCACCCAGAAATTGCTCGTTCAACTGCAATTTACTGTGATGCCTGTAACAAAGTCATTTGGGGTGTGCATGTCCATCAGCAATGGAGCTAAGATGGTTAAACTAGTAGTGTAACTAGGGTTGGACGTGTGCAGCATGATCCCCTGGTGCCCATTTAGAGGGGGCACCAGAATAGCAGCCTCTAGGGAACCTGTGCTGTGGCAGCAGTAACTATCTACATTTGGGGAGGTAAGTACACAGCCTGCAACCCCCAACCCTCACTCTAAGGGTGGAAACAGACATTGCCTTTGTGCTGCTATAAAAATGCTTATGGTAACACAAAGAGATGTCCTTACCTCTTGTCACACTACAAACACCCCAAATCTGCAGCCACAACAAAGGTGGTGTCAATTTGTGCAACTATTTAGTGGCAGATGTGTGTTTACTTTATGGTGTGACAGCCCCAGAAGCCTGGATCTGCCTGTGCTGCCCTACTGCCCCAGGCAGGTACTCCAGGGACTTGAGGGCCCCAATCCTGTGCACTCTGGTAATTTGTCTGCAGGATCAGACCCCTCAAGCCATAGGTGTCTCTGCCCAGCTTCTTCTGCTTACTGAAATGCACTCCCGGGACTTCCAGGGCATGTCTCTCTAAGTGGGGAAAATCAGGGTTACCCTGATTACCAACATGTGCTTACCAGTATCTACAGAGATCCTGGGTGTGTGTCTTGGTAAGTGGATAGGCACCCCCCCGGGGCTTAAGGGGCCTGATCCACTTAAGTCCCATGAAGTGGGTCAGATGTCCCAGCGCACATCCTTGCTTCATTTGGTGACAACTATTTCTAGCCTAGGTATCTCTGTGTAGAGGGCATCAAAACCCCTAGTTAGGCCTCTGAGTTAAACCATGAGCTAAAAAAAATCTACTAGACTTTACAAAGGGGAAAAGCTGAAAGAGGATCAGGACTGTGAATCACTTTGAACAAAAATTAAACCCAAACAATTTATAGCATACATAAAGTTCAACACACTTCTTGTTGAACAGCCAAACTACTTGGGGCTATTGGAGCAAATTTTCATGAGTGCAATGCTGAAGTTATCTAAACCTCTGGGAGAGCATTGCTCAGGAGACTGGTAATGATAGACAACGCTTATACCAACCACTGTATTTGGTTTCCGTAATGCTTTCTGTAATAAAGGGGCCTTGCAACCTTTTAAAAGACTATTTAATACTTTCATTGTTTGCAACAGTGCTTTGCAATTTGGCATAGGCAAAGCCCAGGATTTAGAGACACACCCTTCATTTCTCTCCTCACAGCTTGTTAAGTTTGGTTGAGATATGAATCATTAAACCTGCTCCTTCCCTTCTGTTGCTGATGTTGCACAGGAAATAAATGTGTCAGCCTATCAAAGTAATGACTGCACACAGACAATCCAGGGTTAGACCCCTGCTTCTGCCAAGGCAGAGCAGCACACCCTGATCTGGGAATACCTGTAAGCTGTGTACAGAGTGAGCTGCAGCTGGGCAAGGACCCCCCTGCACCAAACATACCTGCACCCCAGCTGCCCATTTCCCACGCCACAGCAGATGATCAGGTAGGAACTGCCCTGTCTCCCAGCTCAGAAAAGAGAGATGTGGGCCAGGTTTACCAACTCCACCATGTGATGCAGCTCAGCAGCCCACTCCTCTCCAAGGTTTGATAGTTGCATGGTTCTATAGCCCAGGTAGTGCAATACTTTTTTGAGGGGTTTGTTTTGTTGAGGGCTGTTGACAGCTGCATCTGTTGACATAATCTGGTTAACTTTTTCCTTATAAAAATAATCCTAAAACTACATCCAAAAAAGCTAAAAGAACAAAGGTTGCAGCCAAACAGTCAAAGATTATGAAAGAGCCAACTTATAATTAACCATGCAACCTTAAGTAGCCCCCCTTGTGCATATGCACAATGATAAAGTCTTTAATTATATGATCATTTTCACCACACAGCCCTTACTCAAGTGCACAGGATAAAGGCAGAAGGGGGCTGAATTGAGGTTACATGGGTAACCATAAATCTAGTATCTTCTATCTTTTAAATCATCAATTTTGCAACAGGCTTTTGTTACTGTAATTTTTTTAACATACTAGGGTATGGAATCTTCTGCCTCTGACTTGTCAGTACCACTATAGCCAAACTCAGCAAAGACTGGAAGTTATTACTCTCGGATGGCTATTCAGCAATGTCCATGAAAGATGTTTGGTCTCAGTTAAGTTTCACTTGGCAAATGTCCACAGCACAGCCCCGCAGTTGGCACTGTGGTTGGTATTCTCAGCAGAGATGCCAAGGCCTAAATGGGCATGAAGGCTGAGTTACTATTTCCTCCCTACAGATGACCCTCCCAGATAGTTTTAACAGAGGAGTTGTCAGTAGCATAACAAGTGGCAGGCAACCAAGGCACCAGCCCCAGGGCCCCACTTAAGAGGGAGCACAAGAATAGGAGCCTTTGCTACAGCTGGCTTGGCCCCTGCCACTGCCTAGGACACAGCCCCTAGCTGTTATGCCTTTCGTTTTGTCATGGCATTAACAGGTTCTTAACAGAAGTGTGCACTACCACTGCTTATAACTTTTTAGTTGAGTTGATTAAAGAAAGACAAAAAGACATTGGCCTTCACAAGTTATCAATTTGATCCTTTATCTGGGCACTGAAATTGCTATACTTAAACACATGGATGCACACAAAAATACCCAGCAACCCAAGCCCTGGTTTGAAGTTAAAAATCAGTATTCTACCTCTGCTCATTAGGCTTTAAGGTATTTAGAATTATGATATATTTTAAAACTAAATTTCTGCAAGGGATGAAAAGGAAGCATTTGGGATTCAGAATTATGAGCTATGTCTTCTATGATTGAGTGTGCACACGTATAACTGGACCAGAATGAAGCCCGAGGGAAAACAGACAACGGCTGCCTGTGGAACACTTCATAACCTACCATGGCCTTACAGGTAATGCTTATAGCTAACACAAAAGAGCCAAGAGTGGCTGTATCTGTTCTCTTTTTTGCAAATAAAGTGTGCCCTTTCATCAGCTTACAGCTTGCCAATTAAATTCTTATTCCTGAGACAGCTTGGCAGAAAAGCCAAGGTACTGGAACTGGATATTGTTAAACATACCCATGCAATAGAATGGAACTTGTATTCCAAAAGAGGAAAAAAAAATTCCTTCCTCAAACAACAAAACCCCCGAGAACATAAACCATCCCCTGTCCATTCTTTACCATTCTACTGTTCAAGCAAACAGAGGTCAGCCTGCACTGGCACAGTAGGCCAGTCTGTTCAAATTAAGGTTGACAGTATTTTTTTTTTTTACTGTTTGGAGCAAGGACTAGGCACCGGAGATCCAGGGCCCGGAATTATACATTAGCCTCCAACATGCATTTACACTTGTGTGCCCTTGAACATAAAAGAGCACCTCTGTGCCTGTGCCTCCCCCTATAAAATGGGCAAAATAATATTGCTTCATTTCCCATGTCAAGCCTCAAGATGGTTTGAGAATTAAATTCAAAACATGGCAAATTCAAGGCAAGAATCTATGCTATTAATCAATGAAGGATCTGTAAAATAGACGAGCAGAACTGGTGATAAAATATTACACTCTCCCACATAAACATGTTTGAGGATTTCAGGGGTTTAGTATCTGGCACATGCATTCCAGACAATCCCAAGTGCTTAGTAAGTGTTTTTAGTGAAAGATGAGTTTGGAACTCGCAGCTATTTCTTATTGTGGCTGGGGTGAAGGGACTGGTTTGTATTGCCAAGCTTGCTGTCAGTTATACTGTGAACGAGTTTATGAGCTTAAAAACAATACTGTTTCATTGGCAGTGTTTTGATCCCTCTCATCTCAAGCACGCTGCATAACGGATGTACTTTCTGAATGAGCCCAGGTCAAAAGAAAAAGCAGTAGCTTACAGACTCTCATTAGCAGAGGTAGACACTTGTAACTTCAAGTCCAATTAGGTTTAAGAGAATCACACAGAAACTGAAACAAATCATCCATAAAGCGCAGTCAAAAAGGACTTCGTTTAATTAGTGATATGTAAAGACTTTTGCATAGAAAAAGGTTAACAAAGTAATGCACGAAAGACCAACTAGGTACAGTATTTTTAAAACAAATATTTTAAAGTATATTTTGCATAATGTTTAACATTTGCAATGTTTATTGCTTTCTCCACACAGCAGAGAAATCAAGTGCATAATAATACATGCTGTGTTTTATTTTTACATAAAATCTCTACTTCTTGAGTTGATGTATTAAAATACTTAGGTTACTTTAAGTCATTGTAATAAAAAATGAAAGCAAAACCTTTTATGCAGCACTAGTTGTCTGGGTACTGACATCCCCTTTAGTACATTCATTTTGGTTTGGAATCAAACCCACATTACAATGTTGGCATGTAAAAAGCCAATTTAAAAATCACCCCCACAGTAACTTCATTCATACCCAGAGCGATAGTTATCCCCAGAAGTAGATAGTAGAGGAAGAGGAATCTTGCACAGAATCAGCTAAAAGTAAATGTCCAAATGCAACTAATAAGTTAAACTCTTACAACATTGAGTCTCTTGTATTGGCATGAATCAACCACATTGATGTGTGCACGCTTTTAGTAGGCAATTACTTCTATGTGCACTATAAATTCATTGTTTGTAGAGATGCAAGCAAGCACCATATTTTAAGCCATGAAAAAGTGCCTCAAGGCCCCCAGGCAATGCTGAAATGTTTGTTAATCCAAGCACTGACAAGATAATTGCTTTTACCAATGCTATGCTAGATGTCACCATTTGGCAAGTCTGTACAGAGAAAGTAAACTAGGTAAGATAAAACTGTCAAGCTGAACATATTTTCTCGGCAATCCTTTTGGCTAAATAAACCTGTTGGTTTAGAGAATACAGTCTTTCCTGGAATTGTATCAAATGTCTGTAATTTAAATGTATGGTTTTCCTGCCCAGCTCCCCAATCTTTTTTCATCCTTGTGCAATGTTACCAGCTTTACAAGATCACATACACACACACTTACACACACACACACTTATGTTTTGAAAGGTGAGGCACTTAGTTGAACTTGAACATTTTGTCCAGCCTTATGAGAGTGTTATGGGTACAATCCCTCTCCACCCTGCCAAATGACAATGATTATCTGGAGTATTATTAATTCTAAAGTCTATAAATTTCCCAGTAAACTTTTACCATGGGGTTTCCAAAAGCCACTGCTGCTCATCAAGGTGCCATAAGCAAAACAAAGGCAAATCTACCCAATACAACCACATGTCCTCTTTGAAGTCTGTGCCTAGAATAGCTTTGCTGTTCCTTGCTTGGCTTTCAGGCATCTATAAGGCTATACAGACCTTTAACCTGGCTGAACAAGGACATTAACTTACTACTGCATACAGTCCAAAGGAGGTTTGTGGAGTGGGGCAAATCTAAAAAGCTCCCACTTCGGTGCCCCACGGCCGGTAGGGTTTACTGTTTCCACCACTGCCTGCTTGTTGAGGACTGGAAGCTGCTGACACAGATAATGGTGGACTAATTGCTGTTGCAGCTGCCACCGCTGCTGCTGCACTAGGTGGAAGCATTGGGAATGCTCCAGTGAAGGAGAGAGGGAAACTCTGAGCAGCTGCAGTAGCTGCAGCAGCAGCAGCATGTACTGTGGCTGAGAGCGAGAGGAGAGAGGTAGAAAGTGGTGGGACACAAGGAGCAACGCTGCCAGCAGAGGGCATTCTGAGTGCGGAGTCAGCGTGGGCAAACGTGGCTGTGAGAAGCGCAGAACCATGTGGAGGCATTTCCGTGGCTGTGGAGAGTCTACAAGGAGCATTGTCAGAGTGAAGTCCATTCTGATGAAACAGAGCGGTTGGGAGGTGATGAAATGCAGCTGTCCAGTGGTGAGGATGCAAGGGATGATGGTGATGGGCCATGGATGAGGTCATTGCAGCAGCTTCCCTCTGAGAGGCACAAGTGCTGAGATGAGAGACGAGCCTAACGCGTAGCGGATCAGAGGTGTCCAGACCTTCCACAGAGCTCAAATATCTTGCCACTTCTGTTAAACATTCTCGGAATCCAATGCTCATGAAATCCATGGCTAGGGCATGAGCATCAAAATAACCTAAAAGGAAGTTCAAAAGATACACTGAGTATGAGATGATTTCTTAACCCATCTTAGCTAGCAATCAGCAAAATCCTGACTAAGTAGTTGTATCGTCTATTTGTGGGTTGAGAATTTCAGGGAGGAAAGTTTGCTTTGTAAATTACTTGTGTGACTATCTGTGGTAATTCAATATGCTACAGTTGTTCTTTCAACCAAATATTACAACGAAGAAAAATTAAGACCATCAGCATTTGAGGTTCTCCAAAAAGCTATGTGGTGCGTCTCATCTTGCATTGCGGGAGAGGCAAATTCCATGGTGTGCTTTTCCAGAAGAGTGTGTGTGCGCGCACGCGCACACGCACAGACATGCACACACATGTGCATGCATAAGTGCATGTATCACTGTGTGCATGTGCACACACACATACACACACAAGAATGAGTTGATGATTAAAGGGCTTTTATGTTGTGTCCTGCCCTTTCCCCCTATATTGCCGTTAATAACATAGTTCTTAAGATCTGGAGACTGCTGTTTAGTAAATTCATAAAGGCTTTGTTACATGCTGTGTTATTTAGTTGCAAACTTAAAACATCTTGTCATTACTTCTGCATGATACATAGTTTCAATGAAAAAAAACATGCTTTATGTAATGCAGTCACTAAATCTGGACAAGTGGGGCAGAAACTATGACTAATATCCCATGAAGCACTTCAGCAAGTGGTAGATGAATTGCTCACACATTTGGGGCAAAGATATTTTTAAAATGGTATCTCTCATTAAGTTCGCCAAACAGGGTAGACACTTTCTAAAACACAGAGGAAAAATATTTTCTGTCCGAAAGGTTTTATAATAAAATCCAACTTCTAGGCTGAGGCTTTTCACACTGAAAGTATCCATCAAGGGTGAATACTGCCATGTACGTGGTATCCCACTACCCATTCAAAGCGTGGTAGTTTTTCACTATGTGTTTCAGTTCAGTCAGAGTATTTAAGTGCATGAATCTGTGTATCATCTTACAGTAAAGTTGCCCAAAACTTTCTGTTTTAAAAGATTCTTTAAGCCTTTTCTGAGAAGCTCTGACACCTTCACTGGCTTTTGAAATTCATCAGGGAGGCAACCCTCAGGATAAGAATGCATCTCTGACATAAACTCACTTCAAAATAGTTAACTGGAGGTCTTATTCTGATGTTGACTTTAATCTCCCTCCCATCCACACAACACCCTCCCACCTGAATGTGTTGGTGCTCTCAGTTTGGGCTAGTTGGCTTAGAGTGCTGTAAGCTAAAACCCACAGAAGCTTACATTAGGGCTGGCAACCAGACCTGGTCAGGAATTTTCTGATGAAACAAACACAAATCTGCAGAGAGCTGGCAGGATTTCTTCTTTGTTTCCGGCCAGCTCATCGTGAGGATGGCCAGAGTACCAGAGGTCCCTAGGACTTCCAGGCTCTAACACAGAGCCTAGAACCTGGGAACAGGACTCAGCTCCAGCTCCCCAGCAGACTCAAATTAGAATAATCAGTGCTTCCTCTTCTTTGTCCCAGAGCTGGGATACTGGGAAACCTAGTTGTAACTGGGGTTCTTCGGGTCTAGGTTACTAGTGCCACAGCAGGAAGCCTAAGTACCCTTGGTTCCCAAGGTCTCAAGTTCCTATCTTTCCCAGAGCGTCTAGATTTCTTGGTCCCCATCAGTCTGATGGGCTGATGAAGAACTAAGAGCCCCAAAGCTCTGGAAGCCATTGAAGAGAAGATAGCCTTAGAACTGGGGCTCCCAAACTCAATTTTATTCAGAACAAAATTGGAATAAAATGTTTCAAACTTTTTTTTTTTCATTTCCTAGGGAATGTAGAAATATCTAGTTTAATTCTGAAATGGAAAGGGGTTTTAAACACCCCCCACCCCCCAAATTTAAAAAATATCCATGGAATGGAAATTCCAGCTTTTGGCCAGCTCTGCCGGACACTTAGCTTGTGTGCTCACTACAACATAAGTAACTCAATTGAGCGCCGACAGTCTTTTAATGCCTTCCCTGCCTATTATTCGTCTCATGTTTCACTCAGAAAGAATAAGAGTAGCTAGTTTTGCTGACTGCAGCAGGGAATGTGCCCTCAGCAATGCTAGCAATACAGATGGGAGTGCAGCACCTATAAGTGGGAGCTTTACAGAATGGTAATAGGCTAGCTCAAGAGTTCAGAGCTAGGTGTCAACCACCTTAGTTAATTCTGCAGCAAAGACATATGCCCAATTACACTACATTTCAGGTGAATTATACCATGTTAAACATTTGCCATTTTCCTTATCTTGCCTGACCTGATAGCACAAATGCTGGCACTAGGCCAAAATAATACTTGAACATGGGGGTTCTTATCTAAGACTCTGCCAATCCTACACCCAAGTCAGTGCCAGCAACAAAGCTGCTCACACTGCAGCAGAGGCTCCAGATGAAGGTAGGCTGGCTCTCAGAACAGCTGGAGAGAGATGAGGAAGGGAAGTGAGACAGTGCCAGCAGGCTGGCCTTCCTCAAATGTCTCCACCCATGAATTAAGCACAGGGCCAAATGTTCCATACTCTGCCCTGACTTTGGGACCACTACATGGAGCAGAAGTGGCCACTTCATGGGAGGAAAGAGGAGGAGATTTATCCAGGCTCTCACCGACCATTCCTCAGACTCAACACATAGCTTGTGACCCATTTTCTCCCCTGTAGGAGAACAGGTTTCTGCTGCTGCTAGGTAACGCTGTTAGCACCATAGCTCAAATGATGGACTATTTTGCTACAGAGATGGAGGTACCAGGGTTCAACCACTGAAATTAACAGCTCTCACGTTATGCTTCCGGTTGTACATAATTATTTTTACTGTTTAAAGAATGTTAAGAAATCCACATTTTAAACCTTGTTATTTAGGCTGCAAACTCAAGCACTCAAAATGAATTAACACCAGAATTAATGATACCTTGCAAACTTAATTCAGCTTCTTTGTGCATGTTCTATATACATGTGCATAATGTCTTACTTTGCTTAATGCATATTGATTTTAATTAGATGATCACATATTGTTTTTCTCCATAGGACCCCTGCCTCATTCTGTGAGAATGGATCGTGCTCCTAGAAGAAGTCTGGATTACATAGTAAATGGGACTGTGGTGGGCTTCTCACTTCATTTACTCTAGAAGTTAAAAGGTGCAAGCAAAATAAAGGCAAGGCAATGCAAGAAGAGAAGGTATGTTACACAGGAGAACCAAGATCTGTCCTTGCTTGTATCAGAATCTTTCTATATGATAATAAGTTGAATTGAAACCAGGGTAGGTGCAGTTTTCCAAGTGGCCAAGCTTGAGGCAGTGAGAGCCATATTTGCAAAAAGTGCAGAGTGCTCATAACTGTAGTTATGAGCTGACCCCTCCCGGGACAAGTTTGTATGGTCTGGAAGTATGACCACAGGTTTTGAAATCAGGAGATGCTGATGGCTAGTTCTTGTTGTGTGGCCTTAGGGAGAATGCCATCTTCTGTGGGAGATGCACAGATAGATCGTGTCAGTAGCATTTGTGAAGCAGTCAGTAGCATGGGGATGAGCACCAGCTGAGTGGTTTCAGCAGTGAGGCAGCTACAAGGGGGAGAGGGGTTTGCCTGTGCCTGGGTCAGTGGGAAACTGTGCTGGGGTTAGCACCTAGAGGCCGTGTCCACTCTGCTGCCACTTCTCCCCTGCCCCTACTCCTGGGTGCAGCATGGGCATAGCTGGAAGCTGCCCAGCCCTGGCTCAGTTCCCCACTGGCTGGAGGCTGTGCCCATACTGCACCCAGGGAGCAGGAGGCAGGGAGAAGCAGTGGCAATGTAAGCTCAGATTCTAGCTGCTGGGCTGCAGTACAGGTCCTCACTGCTCAGCCCCAGCATGGACACTAGCAGAGGCAAAGTCTTCTGGCTCTGTGGGCCAGATCTACGAACTCTGCAGGCTGGATTTGCCCCACAGGCTGCATTTTTCCAAGCCCTGGTCTAGAAAGTGAAAAATTCTATATTACACTTGTACTTCAAGAAGCATGTGATAACTATGGCAATGGGTACATACAAAAATGATTAGAATAAAGAGAAATAATGAAGAACTGCTTGATTTTCAAGCACCTTCCATTCTGTGTTCTGACTCAGGAAGGTCCTACATGTGGAAAAACAGCATGTGATTGTGCAGTTAAACACCGTGTCCTAAAGCACATGCACCAGGGGGAGGAATTAAAGTTGCAAAGACAAGCTAAATTCTGTCAGTTCCTAACTTTCCTGTACTTAACTTTGTCACCTAAACAAAAGGTCTTTTAAATATATCATTTTCTCATATGTAGTATTATAAACCAGTAGTGTAACTAAGGGCACCAGCCACAGACACCAATTTAGGAGGGAGACACAAAAATAGCAGTCGCCACGCTGCTAGCCTGGCTGCTGCTGCCACTGCCAGGAGCCTGGCTGCAGCTGCTGCCCTGTGCACCATGAATAGAGCACAGAATTTGCTCACTTATACCTCTGCTATAAGATCTCAATATTTTGAGATGCAATTGATCAGGCTGTCTGTATATTTTTTGGTCAAACAAAAGATGGGTCTGTTACTATTAAGTACAAACTGCAATAGTTTGGGGTTGAATTTTTTGTTAAATCTCCTGTGATTAAAAAAAGGTTGATTATTAACTCCTAAGTGAATTCCAAGCAAATATTTCCTACTAACAAGCAACTTTTTTTTGGGGGGGGGGGCAGAAAATCAATCACCTCCCATGATTTAGACAACAGAAGGACAACAAAAAGATACAAACCTTAAAGACTTTTTTTCCTGCTTGCATTTGTTAACATTTATAAAATGGGGGCCTAGTGAGGAAAAAAAAAATCAGGCAGCTTGCATGACAACAGCTTGAACTGAACAGGTATCCAATGTTCAGAGCACCAGGGTAAGTCTGTAAGAGTCTGACTTCAAGAAAAAAAAATCTAACAACTTCTGGACCAACAGTGCACTCCATAAGTCATGGCTCTACCAAACCACCCACACCTCATGGGCAATTGAAGTCATTTGGCTGTCAGCCTTGCAAATGTCAGCTCACACAAGTGAGGTATGCTGGTAGCTTGGACTCGCTACAGCTGGGAACGACCCCCCACTAGGTCATTTAGTCCGGCCCTTGCATCCTTGCAGTACCAGCTAAGGAGGAATAGCCCAACACCCTGACATAAGCACAACTGCTTGCATAAAAATGTGAGTGCAGATATGCATGGCTATCCTTCTACCAGTATCTATCATCTGATCCCCAGTGGTGTAGGTATGCAAGATTAGATTTTGGTCTGGTGAATGAGACAGCCTAACCTTGCATTTCAAATAGTCTGTTCCAGAACAAAGAAAATATATAAACAATAATGAAAGTTTCTCTGGTTCCACTTCCTTTGGTATAAGCTGCTGTATAATGAGTTTTAACATTGGTTTTGTGTGACACAATTGTTGCCACAAACCTCCTGTTTATGTTTGGATGTTTGTGTATTTGTTTTGTCTCCCTGTGCACATTTCAGTGCTCTTTGGAAACCCCAAACAAATCTCTGACTGGGCTGCCTGTGAATGAAGCCTTTACTCCCACAGTGTTATGAAAGCAAACACAAGCCCAGGGTCAAGTGCTTCTTTTGTCCCAGTAGTTCTTTCCCACGAGTTCAATCCTGCCATTAGCATTGATTTCCACTCCTTTAATCTGGAGCTGCCTATCACAGCTCGTCAAAGGACTGTTTGCAAAGATTTCCCCAAATATTAAAAGACAGACAGTCAGCTCCTTACCTTTGCCTCCTGTTGCCTGGAGCATCTTCAGATGATCCACTGTCATTTGCAGTATTTCCGCTTTTTCTAATTTTGCAGATCCCTTTGAGATAAGAGGCTCAAATAAATAAAGGCTTACAAGTGCTGTAAGCTTTAATTTAGTATACTTTCCATTGAGTTCAACCTTATGGTTTCAATTTCCCCCATCATTAAGACATTCTCAGCTTAATTCTTTCCCTGAGCATCTGCATCCCAGACTAAAGACAAATTCTGTATCCTGTCTAGCAATTCAGATGCGTCTAACGTAGTAGAAAATAAATAGTAATAGCAGATAGGATTAGCATAATATCAGGGATCATAGTCCCTTTATTAAAATGAAGGGATTATCTTTGAAGATGAACAGACAATAGAAAGGTCCAGCTCAAAATTCAAATCACCTCCATGTATGGTCAGCTAGAAGATTGGCTTGACAATCCAGTGCAATTCTGGACTGGAGTCAGTGCAGATACTGCACCTTGGTGCTATGGACTAAGGAGGCAGATTTTCAGAGATTTTCCCTCCCAAAAGAATGGTAACAGTTAATAGCCAAGAGTCAGCTATTAATGCTGGATGACCCGTCGCAGCACTGTTTTCTGCTTTTACCAGTAGGTGTCGCTGTGAACACATACCGTCTTTAATTTGAGGAATGTTCAGAAATTTAAAAAATGGCCCAATGCATTTTTCATGCTTCATGTGGCTTATGAACATTCCCTTCTCATCCTATGGTGAAAGACAGTCACTTCTGTATATACATGCACATATCCCACAGTTATTTTGAACTTGTAAGAAGGCTGGTTTGCAGGACCAGGAGAGACAACCATTGTGAATAGAGAAAGCATGATGTCGCTGTCAGCGAGAAGCTAAAGCATTGTCGAGGTTGGTTTACAGCCTTGTAAATGTTACAAAAATATAAATGTCACATCTTAAATGACTAAGGTATTTAACTGTTTATAGATTGTGCTCACTTTGGCAGTGCATATAGTAAAACTGGAACGATACAGAGATTAACATAGCCCCTGCAAAAGGACGACATGCAAATTCATGAAGCGTTCCATATAAAAAAAACTGTTTATAGATTAATTTATAAATATTCTAATGTCAATTAGGATTTCATTACAAAGCAGTTATTTTGGTATTCCCCCAACCGTGATTTTAAAGTACTATCAAGTTGAGCTAAATCATCAGCCAGCATAGATCAGTACAGTTACAATAAAGGTATAATGACTTATACTACATGAGGATTTGGCCCAGTGAGCCAAAGGCTGCTCTGAGTTACATCCATGCAGACCAGCTGACTTTTCTAAGGGTGCACCAGTAGAAATGAGATTAGAATGATATAGTTATCTGCAGCTAAATTTCATGATCTTCAAGTTGCTATGACAGAATTTGCTGAGAACAGAACTTTTGATTTTGTTAAACTAAGAATTCTACCATTTTACAGATACAGCTGTTCCAGCAACTTCCACATCAAAAAGATTACTAAGAACCAATTATTTGGGGCCTGTCATACCACAAACGTTTTTAAATCCCCGCACACACTACTTTTTCCGCTATTGATTTTTTGGCTTTTTTTTTTTTAATAAACTGAAATGCCTGACATCTCAAATGTACTGAATTTGGCGTACTTGTGATTTTTTTGGTTAGATTTTTACATTTTATATGGAATTACGCTCTGTACTTTTCTCAGTCCTAATCTTTTCCATAGACACAGTACAAGCCGTCTCAGTGAGAGTGACTAATAGCTAAAAACTGCATGTTGCTGGGTAATTTCCAAGGGCTTTGTAGGACTTGTTTTATAATGTTTGTGGTTTTTAAGAAGTAAACAATAAAATGGGACAAACAACTGTTGTCTATTGCCCCTGTTTTGTCTAGCTGAAAATACCTTGGTTGTGCTATGTTGCCAAAGCCTATGAAATGGCACCATCCTATTAACGCTTAAAAGCATATTTGCAGGTGGCACAAGTGGTATTTTGCTTTCTGCTCCAATTCTTTAAAATTGTTTTCCTGTTACTTGTTCCTTGGTTCAGAAACATGATAAGGCCTGTACGATGAAATGCAGAGCATTTTTACCTCCTATAGAAACCACTGGGAGCTGAAAGCACTTAGCACTTTTCAGAATCAAGCTTATATTACCTTTCTATTTTTTTAAGTTACAGAGATCTTTGTTTGTTTGTTTTAATGTCAATCATTCCCTTTGATTTAAAAACACACTGATTTAAAACAGCCATTACTTTGCCACATCTCAGTTTTGTTTTTTATAGTGATGTGAAATGGCATTCTTGTTTTATTAAATTTATTTGGAAATTCAGTGATATTGGATGAAATTACTGATTATGACAGAAGAATTTTTATAGAACAGGTTGTCTTTCTCTATTGAATCCACAAGCAAAGAGCAGAACTGACCCAAGGCCCATTAAAATGAAGGGGAATCTTTCTACAGAAGACTCGCCTATTAAAAGCCTTTGAAAATCCCATTGACTTCATTAGGGAAAGGATCAGGCCCGTAAAATATGAGCTAATGTACTGCTACTAAATGGATCTCTAAAAATGGAGTAATCTAGACAATCTGTTTACTTTTTAGAAAACCGGCCTAATTGGAATATTCCTGCAATTATGATTTTTTTAAATAATAAAGTTATTGAGAGAGAAAGAGAAGGGGAAGTTGGAAGAATGTCTTGCATTTGGAAACTTGTCTACCGTTGGCCAACTACATCGTTGGTCCAACAAAAGAGATCACCCTACGAAATCCTTGTCCCCCTCCCCCCCTTAAGGGATTTAGACAGAGGAGTAATTGACATTTAAAAAAAAAAAAAAAGTAAATGGAGGAAAGCACATTTTTAAACAAAACCACTACTGGAATTCATCGAAAGAACAGAGGCAACATGAACACTGTTACCCTTAAGGGGAAAACAAACCAAAGAATGGAAATGCTTTTCAGCTTTATGATGGATTATGGTTTTAATAGTTTTGCCACAACAAAGCATTTTATTGAAATGCCTACTTTCTGCCAGATCAGGACACATACAATATGATTTTAACAAGCTTTACAAGAGAACCAGCATTGCCAGATGAGATACAGTATATTAAAAAAAAAAAAAAAAAAAAAAAAAGCACGCTTACTTGTTTTTCAAAAGCAGTTGGCACAAGCCGCCTCAACTCAGATAAACTGTTATTTATACGATCACGGCGCCTTTTCTCTATAATCTATCCCCAAAACACAAAACAAAAATAAAGTGTGTAAAAATGATGGACAAAATCAACACATGAAAATTTTTATGTAGAGAAGGAATGTAAAAAGAAAAAAAAAGACCTAAAATAATGATAATAATAATAAAATAAAATTAAAAAAAAACACATACCCCTCTTCTTTTCTTTCTGGCCATGATCTGAGATGTTGTTGTTGGGGAATTTGATCGAATCAAAGAACTACTACTTTGCCTATGAAAACAATAAAAGTATGTCAGGTGTTGCATTACATGACATTGCTCCCACCTAGATGTGGTGGGTCATCTCATTTGAAAAATTCACAGCTATTTCAGCTCTGCTTTAATGGGTTTGGAAGATGTGCTTTTGTGTTACAAGGTTAGTGTTTCTTCTTTCAGAGGTTTCACTTTTCAGCCCCCCCCAACTTCCCTCCCCGTTTTATATTAGCTGGCAGAGTACTTTGGTGAAAGTATCCCTCCCAAAGATGCTTCCCTGCAGTAGCATGATTGAACTGGCTTTCACGACATATATGCTTGTGTATAGAAAATATGCCTTCTAATGGAATTTGATAAAGAAAATACAATCCGTTCAGACACTTGATCACTTGCGAGTAAAGGGACTTTTGTTTTGCAGTCTCTGTCTGCCTAGGTTCGAATGTTGATGCCAAACACAGTAGTAACCCAGAGATCACATAACTAGAAATAGACCCCAAAGCTAATAACCCTTCTTAGAATTGGCAATACCTGCCAACTTTCAAATGCAGCAGGTCTCTGCAAACCTTCAAATTCAGCCCTGTCTCAGAAAACCCTGGGAAACTTCATCCGCAGCTTACAAATGAAGAGAGAGTGCTTGCAGCGATTGCTCAGCTGCAGGGATCATATCTTAACTTTCCAAAAGCCGTTTCCTATTGGTGCTGATTTATTTCAGGCTGCTCTCGCTGACCACTTGTCAGTATATATCCACTGTTAGGATTAGCTGAAATGATTGTAAATTAATATAAATCTCATTCATTGTAATAGCCTGCTTTACACATGATGTTTTGTTTTTTTTAATTTGTAGGATCTGGGCTCAGTTTGGAGTCTTGCTGGTACTATTCAGATGTCAAACTTTAAGAGACTCAAAATTCAATTAAATTGTAAAACCAACCTGCCTGAGCAACAGATTACTAGTCAAATTTTAAAGCAGAGATACTCTGGGTTCACATCTGATGGAGAGTGAACATAAACGTTTCACCAATCCATCCATTCAGCTTTGAGGAAAATAAATTCTTCTGAAAGAGATCCTTATCCTTGACTGCCCTGGTTCGCAACCCCCCAGACCAGTGATTCTTAATATATTTTGTACCAGGACCCATTTGTAAACATTGATGGCCAGTCCCAACCCAGTGCCCCTCACTCCCGATCTGCTGCCCCCCATCCCCAGTCCCCAGTCCCCCAGTGTGTGGGGCATGGGGGACCCCAAGCAGCCCCTTGCAGGCTAGACCTTGACCAGCCTGCAAGGGAAAATTCACAATTTCCCACGTTTTTCTCCTTTCAAGGAGAACCCATTTTTGAAATTTGTTGATCCATTTTTAAAGTTTGTTCATGACCCTTTCATATATTCTTGCCACCCACTTTTGGGTTGCGACCCATGAGTCAAGAAACGCTGCCTTAGATCACTAGATTACAAGCCAGACACCACTGTGCCTCTCAAGTGCAACCCAACTAGACTTAGCCTCTTGGCTCAGTTGACTGTAATTCGCTAGCTAAGAGCCCAATTGAGCCTTCCCCTTCCAGGTGGGCTGACATCGGAAGTGTTTGTCCTTATGCCAGCAGTGCAAAGGGTGCGTGGGCAGCCTTACGTAGAGGTTAGATTATAGTTGTATGGGAGGGTTTGGCTAGGGATGATCCTACCTCAGGCAAGGGG